TAACATTTGATGCCTGTGTCTTTGGGTTGCTTGTGATCTTGTTATTAGTTATGTCTCCTCGAAGAGAAAACCTACCTTCATTCTCCCGATGCACTGGGGTCAGGTGGACGGGAACACAGGGAGGGGTGCAGGAAGGGCACATAGGGGACGGCTAAGCTTGGGTCCCCCAGAAGCAGACCCAAGACAAGGGGTGGAGTGCGTTGTTTTTGTTTGTTTGCTTTTATTTCTTTTGAGACAGAGTTTTGCTCTTTTGCGCAGGCTGGAGTGCAGTGGCACCATCTCGGCTCACTGTAACTTCTGCCTTCTGGTTTCAAACAATTCTCCTGCCTCAGTCTCCCGAGTAGCTGGGATTGCAGGTGCCTGCCACCACACCTGGCTAATTTTTGTATTTTTAGTAGAGATGGGTTTCACCAGTTGGACAGGCTGGTCTCAAACTCCTGACTTTGTGATCCACCCACCTCTGCCTCCCAAAGTTCTGGGATTACAGGCGTGAGCCACAGCACCCGGCCAACGTTTATTTCTTTGGGAGGCAATCTTGGGAAGCACTGGCAGGTGAGTGGGAAAGGAGACAGGATGGGAAGAAGTGAATGAAGGATGCTGTGCTATTGAGCATGTTACTGCCAAGGGCAATGGTGCCCAATTCCACTGGGGAACTTGGGGAGATGGTGAAGAGCCCCTGGAAGTTATTCCACCCAAGGGAGGAGCAGCTGGAAGTTTCATCTTCTGATTCCATCTGATATTGGCCAAGACTGCTTCCAGGGACATTTGTTCCCTACCCGCTTGAGCTGAGCCCCCACCTGGGCTGAGAGAAGCTCTCAGGTGAATCCCAGACGCCTGTGCCATGTGCTGCCTGCTGGATGCCTGGGAGGTATAGGCAGGGTCCTGGCAGTGAATGGCCATGGCTTTGAAGCTGGACACAGGTGTTCTGATAAGGGAAGGAGCCCAAGGAAGCAGCCCTCCTCCCTCATCTCAAACCCTGCCAGCTCTGTGTCCCCTGAATCCCAGGGCCAGAGGCTGTGCCACGAAGTCCAGGCCAGTTTGCAAAGGTCTGGGGACTGTCTCCAGCTGCCCCACCTTCCCAGGGCCTACCCGGAGTGGAACATTCAAAGAGAGGCACAGTGTGTGGCTTGGGTTTGAATGCCAGTTCTGCCCCCTTCTAGCTGTGTGACCTTGGGCAGGTGACTTCATCTCTCTGGCCCTTAGTTTTCTCATCTGTGAAATGGGAGTAATAATGATACCTAGCAGGACGGTCCTCAAGGGTTAAATGAGAGAGTGTCTATAAAGTGCCTGGTCCCGTGTCCAGCCATAGAACAGGAATCCAGGACATATTCCTTCCTCTTCCCTTTCATCCAGGGCTCCTACCTACTCCCAGGACCCTGACCAGTACACCTGTGTCCAGTTTCCAAGTCTTTTTTTTTTTTGAGACAGAGTCTCACTCTGTCACCCAGGCTGGAGTGCAATGATGCAAACTCAGCTCACTGCCACCTCCTCCTCCCGGGTTCAAGAGATTCTCCTGCCTCAGCCTCTCTAGTAGCTGGGACTACAGGCATGCACCACCATAACCGGCTAATTTTTGGTAGAGATGGGGTTTCACCGTATTAGCCAGGCTGGTCTCGAACTTCTGACCTTGTGATTTGCGCTCCTCAGCTTCCCAAAGTCCTGGGATTACAGACACAAGCCTCCACGCCCGGCCCTCCAAGTCTTTGAGTTATGGAGATTTCCTCAAAGGCTCACATTCCCAGGGAGTGGGACTCCTGCTTCCAGGACGCTGCATCTTTCCCATGCCGAGGGCAGGGAGGCACGCTGCTGACCCCTCCAGCAGCCCTGCCTTACGCCTGGGCTTGCAGATATCCCCATGCTCATCAGGCCGAGGCAGACCCACATGACATCCCCTGAGGGACCAATTTATACAGCAGCTTAAGTATCTTTTAAAACTCCTTCCCCCTTCCAGAGATGTGGGAGTCGGCAGCTGCTGCTGCTCGGGACACGGGCTCTTCTTCAAAGGGCCTCCCCGTGGGCAGATGGAAAACTTGCTAGGAAATGCTTTTTCCTTTATTTTTCATGCATATATATTTTTTCTTGCTCACAGAATTCTTGCTCCTGCCTGAGCCCCTATCTTCCACAGAGCCAGCAGGTAACTGATAGGGATCAGAGTTCTCAAGCCCCCTGGGGACACCGCCTGCAGGAAGACTTCCCTAATTACCCTACAGGCTCCAGCTTCTTTCTGCTCTTCCTGGTTTTCTGGCTTCCTTGAGGCCATGTGCTTCAAGCTCGGAGCTCCTCTTTGTGGGCTGATGAATGTGTGTGTAGTGGGAACTTGGTGTCTATCTATCCAGGGAGATGACAGTGTCTCAAAGGATAGGACTTGGGTCTCATCCTTCCTCTGGGCTGGGGGAGTTGCTGCTGACTGGCTGGGGGTGAGACAGCCTCTGAGCCCCCCTGAGGCTGCCCGCCAGCCCAGGCAGACTCTGGTAAGAGCCAGTGACTTTGCTACAGAGGGAATCTGTCAGAGCTGAAAGGTCTAGGAACCCTTCATCATATTAAAGACCAATTCCGTGCAGATTAAGAGGACACAGCATCCGTTCTCTTGGGCTTGGGGAAGCCATCCATCCTCCTGGAGCAGCTCTGGGCAGGCGGGAGAGCTCTGGGCAGGAAAGGGAAAAACTCAGGTGGTGAGGTGGTGAAGAGCAGCCTTCTACCGTGCCCGAGGAGAGGCACCAGTGCCTGGAATGTCCAGGTTCTCATGTGGCTCTGGTTCCCCACCAATGTACTGAGCACTCTGCCTCCTGCATGGGGTCGTGCTTTCAGCCAGAGCCCCCAAAATGCAGAAGAGCAAGGGATGCTTGCTCTCGCTCTCTCTTTTTTTCTTTTCTTTTCTTTTTTTTTTTTTTTTTTTTGAGACTGAGTCTTACTCTGTTGCCCAGACTAGAGTGCAATGGCACGATCTTGGCTCATTGCAACCTCCACCTCCCAGGTTCAAGTCATTCTCCCACCTCAGCCTCCCAAGTAGCTGGGATTACAGGCACCTGCTATCATGCCAAGCTAATTTTCATATTTTTGTAGAGACGGGGGTTTCACCATATTGGCCAGGCTGGTCTTGAACTCCTGACCTCAGGTGATCCACCTGCCTCAGCCTCCCAAACTGCTGGGATTACAGGTGTGAGCCACCACGTCCAGCCCCCTTGCTCTTTCTTAAGATCAACTCATCTGACTTCTTCCAAGGCTGGGAGCTCAGCTCTGCTGGAGCATTCCCTGCCAGCCACCATCCTGCCCTCCTCCTTTGTCTGCCTGGCTGCGTGGTGGTCCAGGGCCATCTGGGGATCAGCTGGATGGTGGGGAAGGACCACTGCTTCCTGGTAGGGCTAGCCAGGAGCAAAGGCAAGGGGACTGGGGAGGGGACCAGGCTACCTGCTCTATTTATACTCTGCCTTAGGGGAGGGCAGATTGGCAGCCTGGAGCTCTGGATGCCTCCCAGAAGCCTGAGTGGTGGTGGCGGGGCATCTGTTCACTGAAGGAAGGGCAGAGAGAAAAAAATAGGCACTTATTGATTTTCTTCTTATGCCAGGCACCAGGCCAGGTCCCTTTGATGCATGATCTCATAACATAAATATAGCATGGGGGTCAGGAGATTGGGTTCCAAAATTGACAGAACTGGATTAGAATTCCACCTCCACCAGTTTCTGGCTGGGTGGTACTGGGCAAGTGGGTTCACCAGCCTAAGCCTGACTTTGTGCCTCTGTAAAGTGTGAATAATCGAAGCCTTCCTCCAAGCGGTCCTGTCTCTAAAGTACACGGCAGCGTGCTGACCCAACCCGTGAACATTAGCGCTTTCTGTTATAAATGACCACATGATGCAGAAAAAAATCATTCCTTGACTCACCCGAGGCCATTGAATTGGAAAGTGGCAGCGCAGAGATCCAGGTAGGGCCCATGCCTTCCAGGATCCAAAGCCCAGGCCCTTCTCAGACATCTTCCAGCCTCCACAGGGAAAGAGATGAATGATCTCAGGGCTAGCGAGGGGCCCACTGCTTGGCCGTGCTGGAAGGGCAGGGAGGCCCAGCTGCCAAGCTCCCAGCAGTGGCATAGCTGGGCAGGGACTTTTCCTTGGAGCTGGCGGAGAAACTGCTCCAAGGTGCACCCTGGATGTGGAAGGTGGCTCTGCCGGGACAGCTGTAAACTCTTTAACCTTTCGTGGGGTTTCGTCCTTCAGCAGCCAGAGAGGGATCAGTGGCAGGGGCGATGGAGCGGGAGGTGGCGGTGGCACGGAGGCGGCCCTGCACTCACTCACTCACGGCAGAATGGACTCTGGATAAACAATTACAGTCTATTTACCTCAGACCATATGGTGCTGGGGAACAGGTGTGCAGGTAATGAAGAGCCCAGCTCCAATTAAGCGTCTGGGAACCCGGCCGGATTCCCACTGAATTTTGCGCTTGTGCTGAGGCCCACTTACAAATGAGAGCTAAAAGGACTGAGGCTCAGGGAGGCAGGAGCGGGGGCCTGAGTGCTGTGGGCCAGGGCCAGGGCCAGCCAGCAGCCCCCACCTGCCACCCTGCACCTGCTGGCAAGCGAGTGAAGCCCAGGGACCTCATCTGGGCCTTCCCCATGGCAACCTTGGCGCATCTGGGAGTTATGAAGGGGAGTGATTCACCTCTTGGTTAGGTGGTCCTGGGACCTGTCAGGGTGGGAAGTCAGGGGATTATTCCTGTAAGACTTGGGGGATGGGGCAGGCACCTGTCACTCTCTGCCAAGGTCCTTTCCACCCTGGCCCTTTCTTGGCCTTCATTCCCAACCTTTCAACACATAGTTTTGCATGCTTACTGTGTACTGAGCTGGGCACTGGGGATGCACCAATGAAAAAAGTAGACAAAGGCTTTGCTCTGAGTTTGTTTTAGGGTGATGGGAAGACAAACAGTCACATTCATAAAGTCACATGCATGAAGAACGTGAGTCACATACATGGAAAAGGTCATCACATGCATGAAGAAGGTGAGTCATACATGGATAAGGTCATCACATGCATGAAGAAGGTGAGTCACATGCATGAAGAAGGTGAGTCACATGCATGGATAAGGTCATCACATTCATGAAGAAGGTGAATCACATGCATGGATAAGGCCATTAAATGCATGAAGAAGATCAGTCACGTACAATAAGGTCATCACATGCATGAAGGTGAGTCACATACATGAATAAGGTGAGTCACATACATGAATAAAGTCATTCACATGCATGAAGGAGGTGATCTCTGAGCTTGGTAAGTGTGAGGAAAGCAAATTATCTCATCTGCCTGAACGGACTCTTCACCCTCCCTGCAGGCCCCGCTCAAGGGTCCTCTTCAACACCTCACAAATGCCTCCAGGGGTTGGTCACCAGCTACCCCAGGCTCCTGGTCGCTCTCCTGCACGCCCCCATTGCAGCCCTTGGAGGTTCTGTAAACAGATACTTCTGTGTCCTCTCCTTCCAGGGCACTGCCCTTCTCTAGGGCAGAGAGGGCATCCGGCTCGCATGCCAGCGCAGCACAGGGTTAGGCCAGCAGACGAGAGGGTCTGGCAAGTGATACAGCAGGCCCAGCCTCCTGGAAGACTGGTCTGGCCCGCTGGGAAGACGTTGTCCCCTCTGGCCTGGCCTGGCCTGATCAGGTAGGCAAGTGACAATTGCGGAAAGTGCCAGCCTCTGGAAGAGCCCCTGGGGCCTCATCTGACCGCAGCACAGGCAAGGTGCCCCTCACAGTGTTCTGGAGGCTGAGAGATGAACCAAGAAGATGAATAGCTCCCGTCCCCGTGGTGGGCTGGTGATAGTGGAACGAGGGCACATGTTCCAATGAATCTCTCATGTCAGTTTTTACTGCAGCACAAACACGGGGAGGTGGGGAATGCATGGTTTCTTCCAGGAAGCCCCAGTTTCCATCGCTGGTGAGGAGAGAGAGACAGAAATGGGAATTTTTCACACTCCTTTGCCTGGCGAATATTTTTGTTTTCATTTAATTTTGGATTAGTGCATTGCTTTAGGACTTGACAGATGAAGTCAGTACCTCCCCAAATTTCTCTGCTGGAAGACCCTCCGGAATATCTTCCTTTGGCCCTTGGGGGATGCTGGTCCACTCCACAGGGCCCCCTGCAGCTCCATCTGATTATAAAGGGAATACCTTCCAACAGAAATACACAGCTGGGCTATAGGAAGTGGATAACATGATTCCTAGAAAAATCAAGGTTTCACATGAAGAACTTGCTCAGTTTCTGGGGGTGCAAGGTTTCCAGAGCCAGGATTCTGGAAGGCTCCAGCCTCCAGCCCTCCCTTCCTACACCAGAGGGCAGGAAGCAAACTAAATGGAGTATGAAGTGGGAAACAAATTGGATTTTTTTAAAAATGCTCTGGTTCTAATGATCGAAGGGGTTATTCATGATCTGGAGTAGAAAGTGTGTCTTGAAATCTATGTTTTGTGTTGACAGCTTCTCCCTAATGGGCAAGATCTCACACATGATAGAGCCATAAAACGCGGCACTCTGGCTGGCCCAGCTGCTTGTCTGATAAGGGAGATCGAGGGACATGCCAGCATGGGCAGAGGGCACTGGGTCTTACCCCGCCCCCATGCCTCCCCCCCATCCCAACTGGTCTCGGCTTCCATCATGTCAGAAGGCCTGCTCTGCAGAACACAAAGCCCATGCTTTCCAATGACAAGGATTCCATGTTCACGTAAGTTTGGGAAATGCCCCCTAATGTCTCTCCTCCTAGAGATTCGAAACAGCCATGAGCACAGTCATGGCCGCGAGGGGGCTTCCAGTAAAGAAAACCTGGCTAGCCCAACCGGGCCAACATGGCGAAACCCCATCTCTACTAAAAACACAAAAATTAGCTGGGCGTGGTGGTGTGCGCCTTTAGTCCCAGCTACCCTGGAGGCTGAGGCAGTAGAATCGCTTGAACCCAGGAACGGAGGTTGCAGTGAGCCGAGATTGCACCACTGCCCTCCAGCCTGGTGACAGAGTAAGACTGTGCAAAAAAGGAAAAAAAAAAAGAAAAGAAAACCTGGTGGGTTGGTCACATCACCATATCCTTTGCCAGGGCTACCATATCAAAACACCACAGACTGCGGGGTTTACGTGCCAGAAATTCCTTCTCTCCCGGTTTCAGAGGTTGGGAGTCTGAGATCAAGGTGTGGGCAGGTCGGGTCTCTCAGCAGCCTCTCTCCTTGGCCTGCAGGCTTGGCTGTCTTCTCCCCGTGTCCTCCCCTGGTCCTCCTTCTGCACATGTCTCTGTCCAAATATCCTCTTCCTATAAGGATGCCAGTCATATAGTGGCCTCAGTTTCCCTCGATTACCTTTTTTAAAGACCCTATCGGCAAAAACGGAAACATTGTGAGGTGCTGGGAGTTAGGATGTCAACATCTGAATTTGGAGGGGACCCATTTCAGCTCGTTACAGTAGCAGTAGGCCTTGGCATTATGAAATTTGGTATTGAGGGGACCATGAGGAGAGCAGAAAGGTGGGTGAGTAGGCAGGGCATGGCTGCTGCCCACCCCTCGACAGGCTTCCCATCCCCACAGTAATGGCCTGACTTCACAGAAACTGCATTTTCACACCTGTAATCCCAGCACTGTGGGAGGCTGAGGCGGGAGGATCATTTGAGGCCAAGGGTTTGAGACCATCCTGGCCAACATGGTGAAACTCTGTCTCTACTAAAAAACACAAAAATTACCCGGGCATGGTGGTGGGCACTTGTAATCCCAGCTACTTGGGAGGCTGAGGCAGGAGAATTACTTGAACCCAGGAGGCAGAGGTTGCAGTGAGCCGAGATCAGGTCACTGCACTCCAGCCTGAGCAACAGAGTGAGACTCTATCTCAAAAGAAAAAAACCAAAAACCAAAAAATCAGTAACTGCATTTGCCAGGCATTTACTCATTAAAGTACTTTTCCATCCATCACTAATGTGATCCTTTTAACAACCCATAAGGTTGGAGGTTCTATGGTTATTTCCACTTAACAGAGAAAGATGCCTGCACTCAGAGAGGTTGAGTCACTGGTTTTTAGGTCACTCGGTAAATAGTGAAGTGAAGGACTAAACCCAAGTGGGCTTAAAGCACCAGACCTGAGGATTAATGGGGGATAGATTCCCTGCCCTCCCTGAGATGGAACCCCCTGTTGCTGGCAGCAGAAGCAACAGTCATCCCAGAATGGCTCTGAGGGCCCCTGCCAGGCAGAGCCTGAGTTCACACACATGACATTTACCCTGAAGAATCTGGACCCAGGCTGAAGCCCACCTCACTTCTCACCACCTTGGATGGAGAGTCGTCCCTCGTGCTCCCAAAGTGGTTTCAGATGAGTGGACCCTGCCGGCTGCTCTAGGCACCTGCCCATTTGTGTTAAAACCAGTTGGGAAAGGTTGCAGATTTCTCAGCTGTCCCATGGGTTGGGTGTGGTGGAACAGGGACGCAGAGCGAGGCCACTCCAGCTTTCCTGGCCTCATCGCAGAAACAGAAGCGGGCCCAGCAGTGGACACTCTTCAAGAATGAGCAACAGGTACAGGCTGACTGCAAGCGGAACCAGACAATTTGCTACTTGGAAGGTAGGAGATGGTGGCAACTGGCTTAGCAGCTTCAGGAAACCAGCTGACTTTGACCCCGTCCGTCCTGGCCACCTGCTGTTTGCTTCCTTGGTGCCTCTTGTAAAAGTTCGATGACCAGGTAAAACCCTGCCTGCCAGGCTAAGAGGCTGGCTCTTCATGAATTCTTCCCCTTAATGGGAAGAGGCGACTCTCTAGGTAACCAGGCCTGTGCCTTGGGCCTGCCGCCTCCCCTGGATGCAGTGGGACTCCGGCTGCACGTCTCCTCCAGGATGCTTACAGTGAGCCGAGACTGTGCCATTGCACTCCAGCCTGGGCAACAAGAGCAAAACTCTGTCTCAAAAAAAAAAAAAAGTCTCCAGTGGGCTTCCCAGAAATGCCTGGAACAGCCAGAGAACCTGTACACCGGCCAACCCCAGGAAACACTACCCCTGATACTCCCATGCATGGTGAATGAGGTGCAGTGGCTGAGACCCTCAGGGAAAGGACCCCTCTACCATGAGCCATTTTCTCTTCCTAGGACTCTCCCTGACTCTGCTCCAGGCAGGGATGGGACTGAACCCTGGGAACCTGGTGTGGAAGTGGTGGGGAGTACCCAGCAGAGGGCCAGGGAGTCTCCATTACTCTTTCAGGAAGCTCACTTGCGCCAGTGGGTGGCTCAGTTCTGAAATGTTTCTCCAGAGAGCGGGGGCCCAGAAGTCCCGCAGCTGGCTTCTTTAGGGCAGACCCGGGCTAGGGAGAGTAGATTGAGGCCCAGGGTGTAGATGTAAGGAGACAGTCAGGCTCACAGACCTGCCGGCATGAGACTCAGAGAGAGCGGTACCTTAGATTCCAAACACCTCTCTTGCCTCACCCACATCCCAGCCCTGCTTTTGGGAACCTCCTTTTGCAAGTTCTCTGCCTAAATGACACCACCCACTGCCCACCATAGCTCATCCTACCTACCAGGTTAAAATTCTTCAAGTCCTGAGGAGACAGGCATTCTGCCCAGGGCCAGGGGTGTCAGGTTGACAGCTGATCACACGGAAGACCTGCTAAAAGATTCCAGGGTTTGGCTTTGCTTGGGGAAGAGGCGATGGATTGAGAGCGTGCCTTTAGATATCTGAATGGACCATGTAGTGGGTCAATGAGTGGCCCCCAAAAGATTTGTCCACGTCCTGCTTGCCAGAGCCTGTGAATGTGATCTTATTTGGAGAAGGAATCTTTGCAGATGTAACTAAGGTATGGATTTCAAAATGAGGATCTGGATCAGGGGGGACCCGAAATCCAATGGCAGATATCATGACAGAGAGAGGCAGACAGAGATTTGGGAGGGAGGAGGAGAAAGCCACAGATGAGAGAGGCAGTGATTTGAGCTTGGCAGCCCCAGACGAAGGGATGCCTGGGAAAAGGCGAGGAAGGGTCCTCCTGGGGAGCCTTTGAAGGCAGCACATCCCACCACACCTTGATGTCACCCTTCCGGCCTCCACAGCTGTGACAGAATCCGTTTCAGTTATTGTAAGTCCCTCAGTTTGTAGCAATTAGTTACAACAGCAACGAGAAGGAACAGCCGTGTCCTATGAAAGAGAAGGTGGGCTAGCTCCACGTGCAGCCAGAGCCTTAGCAAGGAAGGGTGAGCGCTCCAGGGGGCGTCTTGCAGACCCACGTAAGGAAGAATTTCCGAGAACGAGGCGTGCCCAGCATGGATGTGGCCGCCCTGGGCAGTTCTGCCTCCCACACCATCTGACTGACGCCTCTTGGGGACATAGCGGGTAGGACTGCTGTTCAGGAGGAAGGGTGGGTTAGGTCCTCCCTCCTTAGTGGATGTCTGCTGAAGGGGTCCCCAGTGCGTGTGCACAACGACAGTAATACTCTTTCAAGAAAGCACGTTAGAACGCACACATAAGGGTGATGTCTTGATAGGAGTAACTTTGAGTCAGCTCTAATTTCCTTTTTCAAAAATGACATTATTTGCAAATGTTGGTACAGTAACTATTAATAATAATTTACTTGCACGAGGCTCGAATTTCCCTGGGACACTTGGCTGAGGCTTGTCACTGTAAGGTCTTCTGGGCTGACTGATGGCCCCGTGAATGCCATGTTAACCTCTGTGACTCCAGATGAGTTCCTGGAAAATCTGAAGTAACTGAAAACCATGAAAAGAGGCAGAAATGATCAACCCCTTTGAGACATTCTCTATTGTTCCTTATTCCCGCCCTAATGGATAAGGCCATTGGACTTTGTAACTGACCTTGGTCAACCTCGTGACTCCACACTCTACAACCCCCTCTCAGCTTGCAAAGAACTGCCCTAAACTGTAACTTCTGTAACTTTCCACTGCCCACCCCAAACCTATAAAACCAACTCCTCTCCCACCGCCCTCCGCTGACTCTCCTTTCAGACTCAGCCTGCCCGAACCTGGGGGAATAAACAGCCATGTTGCTCACAAAAAGCCTTTTTGGGGGTCCTTCATTCAGAGTGCACGTTTTAACAGTCACAGTGGTGAGAGAGACCTGTAGTCTCCTAGGAGGCATGAAGCACCTTCCCACACTCTCTGCACATACCCATCTCCGGGGGATGTGGTCCAGGGGCAGGTTCTGACCCTCCTGCCCCAGGCCTGGGCTAGGGCTTGAGAAGCCATGTCTCTCACAAGCTCCCGGGGACAGTGGTGCTGCAGGTCCACAGGCCGTAGGGATCCAGAGTGGCTGCTGGTGAGTTTCCAGAAGATCCGGAACTACTATGGAGAGAGGGCAGGGAGGGCATTTCATCTTGATTCAACTTAGGCTGGGCCAGAGGAGAGCACAGCTTTCCTTTCTGGGAATGCTGTTGAACAACAAAGTGGGACCTGGGGTGACCGAGATGGATGTCCTGGAGGAGTGCAGGCTGGGAGACCTAGAAGCCACCTTTTGATAGAATAATCTAGGATCTCAATGCTTCCGGGAATCCTGTACCATATGGGGTCAAAGGACTTGATGAGTTGATAGTGATGGAACCCTGCAGACGATGGTGAAGGACATTGTGGGGCTCGTCTCCTGTGCCTACCTCTTACCTTAACTATCCTCGTTAGTGCTCATAGCAATTCTATGATTCAAGAATTCCTGGCCTGGTGCGGTGGCTCACGCCTGGAATCCCAGCACTTTGGGAGGGTGAGGCAGGCAGATCACCTGAGGTCAGGAACTTGAGACCAGCCTGGGCAACATGGCGAAACCCCGTCTCTACTAAACATACAAAAAATCAACCAGGTGTGGTAGTGGGCACCTGTAAAACTAGCTACTTGGGAGACTGAGGCAGGAGAATCGCTTGAACCCAGGAGGCGGAGGTTGCAGTGAGCCCAGATTATGCCACTGCACTCCAGCCTGGGCAGCAAGAACAAGACTTCATCTCAAAAAAAAAAAAAAAAAAAAAAAATCCTTTACGATCCCATTTTGCTGAAGAGAAGACAGAGCCTAAAGAGGTTAAACCGTGCCTATGGTCACCTGGGACTATCTGACGAAGCTGAGATTTGAAGTGACTTTTGGATCCCAGAGCTGAGCCGATTATCACCATGCAGTGCAGCCTTCCAGAATCCCGCAGACCCTCAGTAGAGTGCCCTGCTCCCCTGTCCACGCTTGGGCCTCCCAGGCCTAGCAGAGTGGTGTAGGACACCAGGGACAGGCCAGGGCGCCCCTGTACGTGGCCCCTCCCTAGGTCACTCCCTCTGCCTGTGCCGGTTGACTCCACAGTTTTACATGAAGCCCTGATGCCCCCAGCTGGGGGATGATTAGACCAGGGGCCCCTGTCCAGCTTTTCACACAGGAAGACTGCTGAGCACATGCTGGCTGTGGGAGGGGGGAGAGTTGCCACCCTCGTCTAAAATGGCCCTGCGGGAGGGAGGGGAAGATTCCTGCACACCCCAGGAGAGACTGAGGCTCCATGCAGGAGGGAGCAGCGCTGCCTGAACACACCTCCCCGCAGCATGTGGGCAGCAGGGCAGTAGCCAGCATGCCCCCGTCATTTAGTGGGGAATAAACAGCCCTGTTCTATTCTGTGGCTTGCTGAGCAGCACAGGGCTCCAAACCCCTCTTGGTCATCCTCAGATCTCTTCCACTTTCCAAATCTTCAAACCCTTGTGGCTGTATCCCTTTGGCCTGTCCACCATGGGAAACAAGAGGCTCATCCGTTCCCAGGCGAGGAGCCTCCCTCCTGGTGCTCCTAGGGTCGCTGCACAGGTCTCCACGGCTGACTCTTTACAGCAAAGTGCAGAGACCTGGGACGGGGGTTCAGATGTGTGCACAGCAGGGTCTTTGGGGTCAGCAAGCTCTTCGGAGTGGGCAGGACACATTCTCAGGCCACTAGCTGGTTGGGCTGGAGTTCAACTGCCACCACCCTGCCCCCAAACCCGCATCATGGCAAGGTCCCTGGTCCCTCAGAGACCCCTTGAGAGAGCAATCTTCACTATCCAAGTGGTACCTGCATCCCTGGAAAACCGGGACAGACTCCAAGAGAAGCATATAAGCCAATTAAGAGCCCGGCCCAGCCTGGCGGCAGCAGCAGCACCTGCTCTCATCTTGTGCGGTGTGTGCGGCTTGGGCTGCCGGGAAGGTACAGTGCGGCCTAATTACACACTCCTCCATGACAGGAGGTGTCAAAAGATTAAAGGAATCAAACCAAGTGGCTCTCCAGCGGCCCCTCCCCCAGGAACCAGAGCTGCTGTGTGAAGGTGATTATGGTACCAACGTAGTGGTTAGAAAGATAATATTCTCTGGCCCCTGTGTCTGCTGCCTCCTCCATTGAGCTGCTCTTCGGCACTGCAACTCGACCACCTCGGCTGGGGTCCACAGGTTCAGCTTCTTTTTTGTTGGTACAGCTGAGCAGAAGGAAACAAACTAAGCACCTCTCCCTCCACCAGCCTCCTGCCTCTCCCTCCCTCCTCTCCTCCCCTCCCTTTCCCTCCCCTCTTCCCCTCCTCTCCTCCTCCCCTCTTCTCTCTCTCTGTCTCTCCTGTCTCTTCTTTCTCCTCTCCTTTCTCTCTCCCCCTCTCGCCTCTCTTTCCTCTGTCTTCTCTCTCTTCTCTTTCTCCCTCTCCTCTCCTCTCTTTTTCTCTCCTCTCTCTGTCTGCTTCTCATTCTGTTTCTTTCTAGCTGTCTCCACTCTGTTCTGCCCCTTCTCACTTGTTTGATCTCCACATCTCTTTTCCTTCCCCTCCTTAAGGACCTATCAGAGTTCAAGGATGAGGAAGCCTCTGTGGGCTGCTTTCTTTTTTCTTTTCTGTTCTTTTTTCCCCTCTGATGGTCTTTAAAATAACAACAGCAATAACGATGACCAATAACAGTCCTCACGTCTTGCCAGCCCATGTAGACGACTTCCCTTGCATCGCTTACATTACGTTATCAGACAGGGAGAGGGAGGCTCAGGAGCTCTGGACTTGCCTTGGGGCTTGTGGCTGGTGAAGACTGGAACCAAGATTGTGAGCCTGGGGAAACAGGAGGGAGGGATGGCGAAAAAGAAACATTTGAAAGCAAGATGGGGGCCAGGTGTGATGGCTCATTCCTATAATCCCAGCACTGTGGGAGGCTGAGAATGGAGGATTGCCTGAGGCCAGGAGTTCAAGATCAGTCTGGCCAACATAGGAGACCCCCATCTCTACCAGAAAAAAAAAAAGAAAAGAAAAGAAAAGAAAAAGAAATTAGCCAAGTGTGGTGGCACACACCTGTATTCTCAGCTATTTGAGAGGCTGAGGTGGGAGGATCACTTGAGCCCCAGAGTTTGAGGCCAGCCTGAGCAGCATACTGAGACCCCATCCCCGGAAAACAAAAATGAAACAGGAGGACCACCTGAGCCCAGGAGGCCAAGACTGCAGTGAACGGTGAGATTGCACTTTAGACTGGGTGACAGAGAGAGACCCTGTCTTAAAAAGAAAAAAAAAGCAAGATAAGAAGTCACATCTTGAGAGCATCTCCTCCAGGCGGAGGGGACTGAGCATCAGTGAGGGAGGGGAGCAGGGTACCAGGACCCCCACTGCAGACCTGCCGCGCCTCTGCCCGACTTTGCTGCAGTGACTTTGGGCAAGCATCCCTGACTTGTCTGGCCATGCACCTTCACCCCTGAGGAGGGTATGCCATGTCCTTCAGGTGAGCAGAGGAAGGATTGAAAGCTGGTTTGAATCTTCAGAATGCAGAGAGGGGCTGGGTCTCCCAGCGGACATGTGACTTGCCCAAGGTCATTGGCAGGATGGGCTCAGGGCTCCACTCTCCTGCCTTTCAGCCTGAGAGTCCTTGTTCACTTCTCTGCACCTTCAGTGTCTGCAGGGTCTTTGCCAAAACCCAAACCTCCACGGGCATCCTCTTACTTCCTTTCCTTGATGACCTGGTGACCATCTGTGAGTGGGAAGAAAAGTGCTGGAGGGGCAAGTGGAGGTGGGCATTGGCCTGACAATGACTTCTTCTGCTTCTGGGGGTGTGAAGACACGGCTTGGGATTTTAGGAGGAGGGCTTGCTAATGTCACTACAGCACACACATGCTGAGGAAGGTATCTTGGCGGGGGAAGGGGCATGGAGGGGAAGTGGGGAATGCAAAACCCACCTCTTTTTGTGGGGAAGGGGGGAAAGTGGGGAACACAAACCCCACCTCTTTTTGGCTTCCCCTCTCCCTTTTCCATCCTCCTCCACTTGCAAACAGAGCATCAGGGAGGGATTACAGATTTTAAAAGGGGCCATCAGAGGAAGGTGAGTGGCCCGTACCAGTTACTGTGGAGTGTCTCCGTTACCGTAATAACTAACCACTTAATAACCAGCTTCCCCACTAATTCTAATCGAAACATGTAATGATATTTCCGGGCCGAGAGTGGCAAGCTCAAGTCTCAGCAGACATCTCCAGGGGCCGCCCCCAGCTTCACGTGGTGAAAACCGTGGGTCCTCCTTGGGTATTCTGTTGGAATAGTCTCGGGCAGCCGACAGCAACTCTTCTACGGCTGCCAGGAACCACAGCTGATGATAAAAGCCATTAATGCAGCTGGGAATAGAAAACTATTTATGTTAAATGTCACAGATTAAGCCGCAGAGTGGGCTTCGGGTGGGGAGCAAAGGGTGAGGTGCAAAATGCTGGTCACTGCGCCGCCTCTGCAGGGGAAGTGGGGAGAATGAAGGGTGAGGGTGAGGCCAGGAGCAGGGGGCACTTGAGTTCCCTCCAGCCCAGGGAGGCAGGTGGATGCAGGCAGCCACAGTGATTAGCCAGGCTGACCGCCCTGAGGTTGCTAAGTGACCTGAGGGCCAGGTGTGGGGAGAGGGTGGAGCGGGTCTGTGTGGCATGATCCGGGAAGGGGACCCAGGCAGGATCCATGAGACGGAGGCTGCTTCCACTTACAAAGGGACCCTTGCGGGCTCTGTTTCTGGAGAGTGATGGGGGATGGTGTGGGTGTGCCCAATCATAACGGAGGAGTAGTGTGACACATCCAACCGCCCTATGCAGCTAGAGCCAGGAAGTCACAGATAAACAAATGCCACACCCCCTTCACCACCTTCCAATGATCTCAGAAGCTGCAGTTTGAAGGGCACAGGAGGGGCTTGAGTGGGAGGGGCTTTGGGGCTCAGCGGAGCCTGGGCCAGGCCCTAAAGGGTGGCTCCAAGAGAACTGGGGTTCTATCCCCACCCCAAAAGTGCCCATGCTCCTTAAACCTGAACCTGAGTGTCTGGCGAGAGCCCCTCTGTGCATCTCGGCCCCGTCCTTTGGCAAAACTCACCTGAGAAGCCAGTGTGTTGACAGGTCTGAGAAATCCCCAGAAGTTAATTCGATTACTCAGCTGGCATTCAAGCACTGACGACCACCCTTGGTGACCTACCTGGAGAGTGGTTCATTCTGCGGGTTGAGGCAGAGAGACTGTCTCCATGCTCTGCCACCTCCCGGTTGCTTGGCTGTTGCTTTGTGCACAGGGAATGCAGGCTCATTTTGATATTGGGGCAAGCACACATCATTGGGAAGGTAAATCTAGAGGGGAGGGGAGCAGGCGAGATGAATATCGCCCCAAGCCTTGTCCTGCAGCCTAACATCCAGTCCCAGGAGGGTCATGTGAAGCCGGGGCATCTTTCCTCCAGGAGGAAAATCATTCGTACCAATGGATGGGCCTGAAGGAGATGTTGCCACTGACTCCCCCAACACCCCTGTGATGGAGAACAGATCTCCAGCAGCGCAAGGGGGCCGGGGAAGGCCCTCCCCTTCCCTCTTCCTATGAGCTGTTTGGCTGCAGAATGATGGTGCTGGAAGTGAGCTAGCCTGGTAGCACTCACAGGAATACGATAAAGATAGAAAGAGGTCCCAGGAGGCCCTGAGAGTCCAGACAGTGGGTGATGTGTCAAGATGGTAGGGTGGGTGGGGTTGGTAGGATGTCTGGGGGTAGGGTGGAACTTTCACAGACACTAGGAAGGGTTATACTGATTTCTGTCATCAATAGATACGTATCGGCAACTACTCTGCACTGGCCCAGTGCCTGGCACTGGAAATATGAAGCATTATCCTTGCTTCTAGAACCTCACTGCGAATAGGGAAGATCAATGTGTTCCCGAGTAACTGTAGTTCATTAAAACTATCTCTAGGAGAGAGGCAGTGCAAGGGACCCAGAGCACCCAGAAGAGGAACCAGGAGGATGGGGAAGGCTTCATAGAGGCAACACTGGAACCACTGGACCTTCCACAGTCAAAAGGAGAAGGCTGGAGAGGGAAGCATGGGCCAGATGGTAAAGAGCCTTGGATATTGTGCTTAAGAAGGAAATTGAAAGTGAATTCTGAAGGCAAGAGAGAGGGAAGTATGTGCTGTTTCTGGGCGGGAGAATGAGAGGACTTGTCCTGGATTTTAGAAAGATTTCTCTGGAAGCTGCAGGGAGGATGTGCTAGACACGAGGTTCTCAACCTTGACTGCATCCGAATCATCTGGAGGACTTGTGAAAACACAGATTGCTGGTCCCTGCTCTGAGTTTTTAACTCAGAGAGGCTGGGCTGCGACCAGAGGATTTGTGTTCCTAATAAGCTCTCATGTGCTGCTACTTGGGGTCCGGGGACCACAGTTTGAGAACCGCTGTGTTGGAGAGCAGATCTGAGGAGGAGCTGGAAGCAAGGAGAGCAGATAGAATGAAATGGGAATAAAATGAGAGACGATGAGGAGATGGGCTTGAGAAACCACTGAGGTCCCAGAGCAGGCAGATGGCGTGGTGCCGACTGGGAGAGGCGGGGCTCAGATGTGGGGAGCGGGCAGCAGAATCATGATATGGCCTTGGAGGAGCTGAAGCAGCAGCAGATGGGCAGACAAGGCAGTGCAAAGCTGGGAAAAAGGAACGGTATCCCAGTTAGGGCTGAGGTCCCAAGGGAGCAAGGCCAGAGCCAGAGACTGGGGTGGGGGTCAGAGTTCCAACTCGGTTGCGATGGTGAGCAGTGGGCCAAGACTCCTACACTCTGTGCTTTTAGACAATTAGGCCTCAGGTCTGGGAGAACACCACAGCTACAAATGGGCCTGGATTTGAAGGTCAGGAGCACACAAGGGCTGTGAATCCCACAGAGCAGGCCCAGAAATAGCACAGGAGAGACTCTGATTCACTGCCTGCAGTGAGGTGCCAGCCTAGCTAAAGCACCCTGTTGCTGGCCCGAGTGGCAGATCAGCCTGGGAGAATCCAGACAGACAGCCTCTGTTCAAGACCAGAGCCACGGGACACAGGACCCCCTGCTCAGACCTCTCTTTAAGTCGCAAGACCCGGTTGCTGGTCCGAGTGCCTGCGAGAGGGAGACATCTCTCGGGAAGGGTGAAGAATCCAGAGCACAGGCAGAACAGCTGGAAATTGATTCCATTTCTTGTCAGTAGCCTAGGAGCAGGCAAGGGGGCTGGAAGGGGAGTGGGTGAGCAGACAGACCCCACGAAGGGGTGCTTCTGAGGCTATCAGCTAACAGAGCCCAAATGGACATCTCCATCAAATTCAGCTCTGCCTCTGCCTCCAAGGCTGTGTCCCTGTGTCTTAGTCCTGAAGTCTCTTCTCCCATTGTGGTCTTGCCAGCCTTGTTCACTCAGAAGTTTAAAGTATACAAGGCTGGGCGCAGTGGCTCACACCTGTAATCCCAGCACTTTGGGAGGCTGAGGTGGGTGGATCACGAGGTTAGGAGTTTGAGACCAGCCTGGCCAACATGGTGAAACCCCATCTCTACTAAAAATACAAAAAAAAACCAAAAAAATTTAGCTGGGTGTGGTGGCAGGCGCCTGTAATCCCAGCTACTCAGGAGGCTGAAGCAGGAGAACTGTTTGAGCCCGAATCAGGGAGGCCAATGTTGCAGTGAGCCGAGATCTCGCCATTGCACTCCAGCCTAGGCAACAGGGCAAGACTCCAAAAAGAAGCAAGCAAGCAAGCAAGCAAGCAAGCAAGAAAGAAAGAAAGAAAGAAAGACACAAAACATCAGACGGTGATTTAAAAGAAACTGGCATCTAGACTTTATACCACTTAGTTATGTCTTAAGCACATTACCCACTTCATAGTGGAATGAGTTCTCCGCTGGGCCTGATGTCTGTCTGTCCGTCTGCCAGTCAAGAATACCTGTGGGCACTGCTCTGCCAGGTCTCCTGCTCATCTCCACCCCAGAGTTCTCACCCAAGCACAGTTATTCCTGGTGAACCTCCCTGAGCATCTATCTGGCTCCCCCAGGATCCATGTCTTGAATTGTTCCTGCTTCCAAACTCTCTGAACCCATGACCCCCCAAGTTCCCTCGTATCTGTTCTGCTCCACTCTCCTGCTCATGGCCACTACCGGGGTTTCTATCCCCTCCCCGCCCCCAGGTTGCCATCTCTGCCCCCATTTGGCAGCTGACCTGATGGGTGCCTGCCCTGTCACTCCTGATACCAATATCAGTATTGGCCTCTTGTCCCCAGTGCCTGATCACAGTTTATGGACCACTCCTTATAGGCTGAGGTTTCTCCCTCCACAGTAGCATTACAGGAGGCTGTTCGGGTTCCCAGGGGAGAGAGTGTGTCTCTGGATGGGTGGCCCTGTCTAGAGGAGAGCTGGCGGGCAGGGGGTAGCCTGGAAAAAGGAGAGGGAAGATGCTGGATGACTGGGATGCTGGGGAGAGGGGCTCTCCAGCACCTGCTGTGGGTAGCCTGGAGGATGGTCGGTCCCTACCAGGATCATGTTCTTTGCAAGCCAGGGCTGCCAGGATAGCTAGGCAGGACAAAGGGTTGCTGCAGGTGGGGGTTGGCTCACCCTGGCCAGTGACTGCCTCTGTCGGGGCATCAGGGAAGCCGGAAACCCTGTGACTTTCCCCTCTCTTCTCTTTGACTCTTCAGAAGAGGCACAATCCCAAGGGAAGGCAGGATTATGACAAGCTTGGAGGGGAAGAGGGAAGAGAAACCCTAAACCCTTCCTGCCAGGACTCTCCTCTGAGATCCAAAACACACTCCCAGAAACAGACATCCCTAAGTGCTGACTCTAGACCAGACTCAGCTTCACCCCCGCGCTCCCTGGGCCCTGCCACCATGACCCTGAGAGGAAGGAACCATTACGATGATCCATTTGGAAATGAGAAAATGGAAAGTCAGAGAATCGAATACCTGGTCTGAGATCACATAGCAAGAATCTGGACCAGAGCTGCCTGCCCCCAAAGCCCATATGTGCAACCACGACAGTGTCACAGCTAAGCACAATCATCCCTCGGAGCTCACGGGCCTTGGCGGGGCTGGGCTGCTCACAGAGAGCCTCCCACACTGCGCCGAGGACCAGCTAAGCCCAGTCCTTCCAGCTGCATCGCAAGAGTTAGCCTTCGACAGGGTCCGCAAACTCCAGCTCCCGGGCCACAGATAAAGTTTTGTTTGAACACAGCTTTGCTTGTGCATTGCAGTATGGCCTGTGACTGCTCTCATGCAACAATGGCCTCATTGAGTAGCTGAAACAAATGCCTAACATGTTTGCTCTCAGGCTCTTTCCAGAAAGTGTGTTATTATAGCTCAGGCTAATATCACAAAATATCATAGACTGGGGCGCTTACACAACAGATGTTTTTCCCTCACAGTTTGGAGGTTGTGAGTCCGAGCTCAGGGTGCCAGCACGGTTGAGTTCTGGTCAGGGATCTTTTCCTGGCTTACCAGCTGCAAACGTTTTACTGTATCTTCACGTGGCAGAAAGAAGCAGCCTTGTTCTCTTCCTTTTCTCCAAAAACCATGAATCTCAGCTTGGGGGTCCACATTCACGACCTAATCTACTCCTAAAGAACTCACCTCCAAATACCATCGCATTAGAAGTTAGGGCTTCAATGTATGAATTTTGGGGTGGCACAAATATTCAGTCCATGACATATGTCAGCCTCTGGACTTTGATAAAATCACAAGCTGGCCAATGCCTAGCAGAGCCCAGCTGAGATGGTGGGGGGCATGTGTGTGTGTGCAAGTGTGAGTGCCAGTGGCCCCTGACTTCCCGCTCAGGTTCTCTCTTGCCTTCTCCTTGGAGAAGGAGGCATAGCTGTTGAGTGGGCAGTGATCGCCTTTCTCAGGGAACTGGGTTTTAGAGGTTTTTATAGTCACAACGGCACAGTGGCTGCCGCTGCTGCTGAAATTTAAGTAATTTCCCCCTAATTAAGCAATTATCTCAGAGATTGCTGCTCCCATCCCCGGAAACTTTTTCATGAAGGGCAGGGAGCGGTGAGATGGGGGTGTAGAGCTTGGGAAGGCCCCAGATATAGAAACACCCTAGCTGTGAGTTTCCTGCCGAGCTGAGAGCAGCAGTGCTGGAGGAGTGTGTGGACTCCCAAGGTGTACTTGAACATGACTCAACTGGTCCTAAGAGCCACTGTGGCTGGAGCCAAACACACCCATGGCAACGGACTCATTACAGGAGATTGGGGTTCACAGGGGACCCTGAGATCCATTACAGGGATCTAGGATGGGGCGAGAGAGAGT